AAGCACAACTTGTGAATCTGTCCAAAAAACCTCTTCATCATTCCCATCTTCTGGGAGTGGATCATCCCATCCAATGCCTCTGTGACACAGCTCTTGAAGGATACGCTTTCCGGTTAGGCTGAATGGAGCGATGAATCCCAGTGGATCATAAAGAGAAGCAATGACAGACAGGCAACCACGCCGGGTTGAAGGCTGATCTTTCAAGCTGATGTTGAAAGGTGAAAGTGTCAGTTTTAAATCGACCATTGAATGCCGAGTGCAACGCTTCAGATAGGTTTGGATCCAGTCCTAGAGGGTTCGAGGTTTGCTGCTCTTTCTGAGTGATCTAAGCAGGCGAGGGCTGGCTTCCTCATTTGAGTTGAATTTATGGGAAGGCGTAGGCCTCCTCTTTTGCACAACTCCTGTGACTCAGTGATCAGCTTCTTGGCTTCCTCGACCGATGGGACGCTGACTAGCCCATCATCAACATAAAAGTTTTTCTCCACAAATGTTGATGCCAGTGGATAGGTAGCTTTGTGTTGCCGTGCCAGATGTTTCAAGCCAAAATTGGCACATCCTGGAGACGAGGCGGCTCCGAAGAGATGAACCGCCATCCTGTATTCCTGTGGTTCCTTCTCCAAATCTCCACCTTTCCACCAGAGGAATTTCAGATAATTCCGGGATACAGGAGTGACGGAGAACTGATAAAACATTCTTTCGATGTCACAGATGATCGCTACAGCCTCCTTCCTGAAGCGGCAAAGAACTCCTACCAGAGGATTGATAAGATCAGGCCCAGTTAGTAGAGTGTCGTTTAGAGAAACACCATGGAATTTGGCCGAACAGTCGAATACGACTCTCAGCTTGTCCGGTTTTCTGGGGTGATAGATACCGTGATGCGGAAGGTACCACTCTGTCTCTCCCTCAGATGTTGTAGGGGCAGGCTCTGCATCACCTTTGTTAATTGTTTCTTCCATGAATGTTTTGTATTGATCATAATATTGTTTATTGGTCTTTAATTTCTTCTTAAGACACTGCAGGCGAACTGTGGCTAGCCTCTTGTTGTTTGGTAGGTTGGGTGGACTGTTGCCCTTGAAGGGGAGGGGCATCTCATAATGTCCGTCTTTCTTCTGCGTGATGTTGTCACTGAGGAACTGTATGAAATGAACATCATTCTGGGACACATATTTATCTTCATAAGTTCGCTCAGTGAAGTCTGATTCTAGGGCTTTTAGAACATCTGTCGCTGATGGAATTGACAGTTCTTTTACTGTGAGCCGATGCACAAAGCTCTGACTTCCTTGTCTGTCTAGGTGGGGGTTTGATGAGCCTATGATACTCCATCCTAGTTCTGATCTCTGTGCAAACGGTTGATTTTTGTCACCAATGATAACCTCAAGAGGAGCTAGTGCTGATGGACAGTCATATCCAATTAGGAGCCCTACATCACAGTCTTGAAGGGGTGGTAGCTTATCTGCCAAGTGTCTGAGATGAGGCCACAGTAATGCTGTTTCCTTCGTTGGGACATAAGACTTGTCCACTGGGATAAAGTCACGGCTGTAGGCCTGCTGTACTTGGATGTGGTTCTTAGAGTGTAGTCCTCGAACTTGTAGACCATGGACGTTCTTGCTAGATATGATTGTGTCAATAGCCGTCATAGTACTAAGTTTCAGTTTTACTGGTTGGGCATAGACATTCAGTTTGTCAAGTATATCTTCTAAGACAAACGTTGAGTCACTCTGTGTGTCCAGTATTGCATATGTAAGTACTTCTCTGTGTGGCTCTTGTATTGAAGACACAAGGACTGGGACGATACTTGAGGTAGCAGAAGCCCGTTGTGTTGATGTAATGGGATACGATTTGTTTGTTGCGTTTCCAAGCTTGCTCATGTTTTTTCTTGGAAGTGGAAGTATTCGTTGTTGCTTCCACAGGTCTTTGTTTCCTGTCTTCGTGCAAGCAGGTTGGATGACGACGGCTGCATATGTTGCATGTGTGTCGCCTCTTACAATCTTTGGTCATGTGACCCTTTCTCAAGCACCCAAAGCAGAGCCGATTTTCATGGATGAATGCCTTTTTGTCTTCACCACTCTTCGCTGTGAAGGTGGGGCACTTGATGTTATGAGCTTCACTTTTACAGACGGAGCAAGATGATTTTAGATTACTGCCGTTTGTTTCTTGTTTCTCCTGAGCAAAAGTCTTTGTTTGTGTATTTGTGTTGAGAGCTTTGGCTCTCTTTGGTGATCTTTCATCTGTGGCCTTGTAATTTAGCAACAATGGAGAAGCAATAGGATTACAAGCTATCCGTGCCTCTTTGCTCAGGAACTTTGTGAAGCATGCAAGATCTGGATAGCTTCCAGATGTGTCAAGTTCCTCTATAACAATTCGACTCCACTTGCGCACAATCCATTCTGGTAGTTTTTTGAGCAACTTGTGGTTTTCCTCACAATCGTTAAGGATAGCTAGTCCTTTGACGTGTGGGATCGCCTCAGTGCAGCCTTGGAGGAAGTCAGCGAACTCTTGTAGTGCTAGTGGGTCGTTTGTGTTGATCTTTGGCCATCTCATGAGCTTATCTCGGAAAGCCTTTTGTATGATGAACGGGTTCCCATATCTGTCCTGTAAGACTTTCCATGCTCCATTGTATGCGTTCTCTGAATCTCGATAAAAGAAACCTTCTACAGCCTTGCGTGCCTCTCCCGCAAGATAATTTTTGAGATAAAACATCTTCTCACTTGGTGGGAGGGGTTTTCTGTCAATAAGAGCTATGAATGACATCTTCCAATCTGTATACATTAAAGGGTCACCACTGAACGTGGTTGGTTCAGGGACAGGCAAGCGGTTCATGCTTAATGAGCTGGCAATTGCTTGTGCTAGACTGACAGACTCTTGAGTCATTGTCACTTCAGGAGCAGCTTGGTGTGGTTGGAATGATGCAGCATTGGGGTTTAATCGAGGTTTAGTTTCCATTCCGTAGCAAGAAGAGTTATTTTTGTCATTAATCTCCTCATCATGGTTCTCAAAACCTTCAAAATCGTCATATGCTCTCACACGAGCTGCTGCTATAGCAACGTCTTTTGCTGCTTGTAACTGCAGCAATTTTGCTCTCTCTTGTTCCAACTGTTGTTGCATTTCCACCTCCTTTTGTTTCATTTCTGACAACATTTTTGCCTCTTTAAGTTTCCATTCACCCTCTAACTTGTGAAGATGTGCTTGCTGTGCTTGGATTTCTTTCATGGCCTTTGAATGTTCCAGCTTAGCTGCAAGCTCTGCTTGTGCATCTACTCTACTGCTGTGGGTACTAGAGTGGTTGCTCAATCTTTCCGGTGACTCTGATGAGCTTACTGTTTCAGTTTTGGTGTGGCCAAAGACAGATCCATATTCATCTTTGTTTAATGTTTCTCTTACCCTTTCCTTCTCAAGTTGGTCATTATAATCTTGATTAATAGTCTCTAGACGGTTACATATGAGGTCACAAATTTCCTTTGTTAGCGTAACACAGGCATCCATTTTTTTTACAATCTCTGGTGTGGTGTTACTGTTATGTAGGATAGGTTCATACTGCTGGCCTACGTCATCATGCTTTGCTTGAATGTCTTGCTGTAATTCATTAAGGTCTTCCGATGAACAGAGGGTTTTTAGTTTTGTCCTAGTCTTCCTTGCTACCTGCTTCCAAGAGTCATAGGTCTTGTTAAATGCTTTCTCACGTTTTTTGGTGTCTTGGTCATGCATCTCTTGGCCTTTCTCTGTTAGCTTTCTTTCACGTGAGCTGGACCTGAATGGTGTGTCTTTAGGATTGTCTGTCTTCTCTGTCGGGAGTGACATCTTGTTTGTTTGTGCTGCTGCTTTAAGTCGAGTGTAGCCTTTGATTGTCCTATGCCTGAATTTACACTTGTAAGCTGTAGTTATCTTTCACCACAGAGTAATATTTATGTCAAGCATTAACAGATTATGGACATAAAAGGATTTTTAGCATAACACAGTAACAACAAAATGTCAGAAATAAGCGCTGCAAGCATTAATATCTAAAGCACTTCCCTTTCAAACCTTTTCATAAGTAGACATGACATGACAGGGCCAGTTTTCTTGAAATAGTCACCATTTTAGAAGTGTTAGGAACAGAGAATTAGCTCACAAATTATTTTGACCTTACAATACCATGTTATTATTTAAGTCGCTTCAGTTATGTTGTAAGCTTGCGTGC